TCTTGTGTATTAGAGTCCGTCGTTGTGTTACTTCCGGCACTTGGATCATCTTCTTCTTTAACTTTTGTGCTGGTAGCGCAGTCTTGATCAAACAGAATGCATTCGGTGAACAAAGAATCGCTAAAATGAACAGCGTGCGATCGAGCATGTTCCCAATCTTGTAGTAAATCCAACGGTGCTTCGGACTCAGCTGGTTTCCCTTCTTCTGATTCATCCGTTGCCAGCTGAGTGGATTCCCTTTTTCCCTCAGTAAGCTTTTGCTCAAGAATGGATGGCTTTTTAACAGCTCCCAAAATGGCGGCAACAGTCTCTTTAGAGCCATTTCCCGCGGTGTGTGCCTTCCGTAACAACAACAAGAGTTCTTTCTTAGCCCGTGCTTTTTGAAGACACAATGGAGAGTAGCAAGTGTTTTGCGTTATTTGAGATACGGCATTTGAATTTGTATTACACTCCTTAGTGTAACAACGAAAAATCTTAGCAAAACGATTAAGTTGACTAAATTGTAAGCGCACTGTTTGAATTTGTTTAGCCAGCGAGTTAACGAGTTCCAAGTTGACGTTTGAAGGATTCCCTTTTGCTGGGAGCTCAGTAAGGCGAAGTAAACGCTTCTCTAGATACGTTTGTTTGGTGTTGGCTGCAACAGGCTGGGAAGAAATTACAAGCGGCTTCACATCAGTCGCAACTTTAGAAGCCATCTGCTCCTCGACCTCGGCCAATTTTATACGGCGATCCAGCAGATCATCTAATCGACATTTGCGAGCCACTTTCGGATAAAAAGTACGCCCAGGAGCATTTAGCGCCTTGCTAACATCGATGATACCCTTGACTTTCCCTTCGACATCTTCTATAACTTTCACGTTTTTGTATTGCTCCGGTAAATAATGACACACCTGACCGTCGACATTGCTTGACTCACATTGCTGCATAAAACGCTGAGTGCGTGGGTCCACTAATATAATTTCATTCACGGCATTTTCCTCTCCCATGGTGTAATGCACATACACTCTATTGTGTACCAGGGGTTGAGCTCGCCGTGCACGAACTCCACACCGTCTACTGCTTGAGAGCCACAACCAGCCCCACTGCCCGTGAACCCGGTACTCTTCTCCTTTTTGCTTCCAGACTTGATGTTTGAGGCCCAGGGTGTATTTAATATAGTTAAACGCAAGGCGATTACGTTCTTCCTCGTCATCCCGCTCACGTTTTTCCCGCTTTTCCACTTTTTTTCTCTCTTCACGTTCGGCACTAGTTATGCGTTGTAAAGTTGTGTGGCCGAGTTGCTCATGCCAGACATTGGCGAATACCACGCTTTTAAGGGACGATTGAAACAGTAGCAATACGGCCGCAAAGTCAGATGCGCGGCGGGCGTTCAACACAGCAGCATTCCAAATTTTCTTGTTAACCACCCAGTTAGTGTTTAAAAACGAAGGTGCTATATTGGACTCAAAGTTTATCAACGTCTGCCTAAGCGTTGTAATCATATTCTCGGTAGTTCCCATGGTTATACCGATCCATTTAAAGTCGGATGCAGTCGTTAACGAAAACTTGTGGGATAGGTGACGCCGCTTATCCCGTTCTTCGTTCCGTTGCGGCTTGTTTAGGGCAATGGGATTAGTTGAATACTGGTTCACATAATTTTTGAATCCTTGCTCCATACCAAGTTTAAAATGCAGAGTGCCATTACTAAGTTGACTGGATTTCTGACGCGTCACCATTTTGGTTTCTTCCTGTTTCTTTGTTCCTTCGGAAGGGCTCTCAGATTTGGGATCGCCATCTTCAGTTTCCTCGTCAAGTGTCTCTTTTTCAAGTATTTCATTTGTAGCCTCTTGTTCAATCTCGATTATACTTCGCTTAGTATGTTTGTGCTCGTTAGTTAAGGTGTCAGTCAATTGCATTTGGCGCTCGATTTCGTCTCGACGTTCTATAATCTGGCTATGCAGCCGAGTTTCCAGTTCTTCGGGGTCCAGTCGGCAAAGTAGCAATTTTAACTTACTTGTTGTACTATAGTACCAGCAAGTGGAGTCTGTCTGATCTTCGATAAAAATGCGACGAGCAATAAACCAATATTTTCGCCCATGACGATCAACACCCAGGCTGTCATGCCGGATTAGCACGCCTTGTTTCTCCTGCGGCAGTACACAGTCCACTACACCACTGACCTTATGTGAACGGCAAAGTCCGCACTGCCAATCCTCAGTAGGTACGTCGTTCATTGGTGGGTCTACGCATTCCAAATGATAGACGGCAGGGCACGTTTCGCAGCATAATAAATCGCCGAGTCGATGGCATACCCGACAATGGTCATCGTAATGAATGGGCCCTTCCTGTAACATTACATCGCGTATAGAATTGGCAGTTAAAAATTGATCCGACAGAAACTGAAGCACTTCAAGGCGGCTGTCAATGCCTGTGTACGGATATTCAGTCCGGTTTAAAATCTGAAACACGTTGCGATCAAATGTCTTGTCACTTTCCACATAGCTGCGCAAAATTTCCGGCCACGTTATAGCGTCAATAAGGTACAGGCTTATATTAACAGTATCTTTTTGATCCAGCGGACCAAAATGTGTACCCTGTGCGTCCTCTTCCCGCAAAATAGCCTTAAGCAACATTATATGTACGTCTGTTAATAAAGCACTTTGCTCCTCACAAGCTAGCGCGGCGCAAAAATCTTCAAATCGGAATGGGGAGAGACGCACCAAGTGGCGAAAACGTCGGAGTACTTCATAAATACTGAGGGCACGAAAAACATGGGCATTAGCTATGGATAGATCCTCCGATGAATCAGGCAACTCAAGCGCTGCATATTGCCGCCCTTCCTGCAGCCACACTGGTTCTGGACTGGGCGGGCGTGGTGGTCGGCCAACACCATTTTGGTTAAAGCTGCATACGGAGAATTCCGATTCGCTCTCGTTGGCTGCTTCCAGGCTCTCGTCGTCGCTAGGAGTAAGTAGCATATCATCCTCATTGTCTGATTTGTCTTCGTCGGAGTCTCCAAAATCAGATCCGTAGTGATATTCCGACTCGTACCCTATAAAATAATACAAGATTTATTAGAACAAAAATATTTTTTTTTTAATTTTACTTCTCCAGCCAGTGCATGAGTTACAACCTGTCATTTTGTTTCACTACTTTTGTGGGGCCTACATACATTTCGTTGTGAATCGGACTAAGGTAAGTTCAGATTTTGGAAACACAAGTTTTTATGGAAACAGAAGAAGAAAACTAATTTTAGAATTAGATGAACTGACATATGGTTTCATATTATGGTTTCAATATTATATGTTTATTAAGTTTTTATTTTGAAAGGTTCGAGAGTACGCGACCAGAATAAAAGGACTTGTCCATATCGTTTCGTATAGTCTTGGTCAGTACCATGGTATGTTGTGTGGTCTTATGTGGTCGGAACTGGAACACCTCACCAAAGGGGAGGTAGAAAATGTTCTAGTTTCTAGTCTCGAATGCCAGTTTAGTCCGTGATTTGTCGGTAACCCACCTTTCCTTCCGGAGTAGCTGCTGGTGTTGGGTTGCACGGTGGATTTTCGACCTCGTCCCCTCTTGGCGGCGCTCCCGCGGCTGCGGCTGAGATTTGTGTGACTACTACGACTGCCCTCGTCGCTCTGCGGGGAAATGCCCCTTGAGGCCGACGGAGTACTTGGCTGGGACTTTCCCTCGCTGAGATACTTGGGCTTCTTGAGCAGCTGGTAATTGAAGCGTCCTGAACCGCGTTCATTGGGCGTCTTTGGCGGTCGACCACGTTTACGGCTGCCGCGACCGCTCATTTCGCTTGTTTTTTTTGCTGACTTATCTGGCTTTGTGTGTGGGGGTGTGAGTGGGTCCTCTCCTCAGATTTGTTTCCGAAATATTCCTGCGAAGCTGCACATTAGATCTGAAAGAAGAATTTAACCATTCAGTCAGTATGAGTTCCATTTCTCACTCGCACTCAGCTATTTACGGACACATTCAAACACACATTAACTCAACGGCGTATGCGGGGAAAAATCGATCAGATTCCCAGTACTTAATTGCAGGCACTTCGCTTTTTGTTTAGTTCGCGCACATTGGGCATAACAAAAACCCGCCAAAACAGCTTGTTCCGTACGGAACGACGGTTCCTATATTAAATATATTAAGTACATGTATTCAAAACACATTCTCAGCTCCTAATGTTGGCTGGCAAACGCACTGGACAGCACCACCAAGTGTGCCTGTGTGTGTGCGAGGAAATGAAGCCAACGCACATTGTCCGCCATTTAAAGAACCGAGAAAATTTTCGTCACTATCCAAATGCCACTGTTCGTTCAGAAACAACGCCAATCTTTATTGCACACATTACCCAACATGTCGGGGAACTATTGCAGACGATTTAACACAATATATTCACGTATTTTTAACTATCTTCTGCAAACTGCGAGAGCCACTTTTACCTAACATTTCAGTTCTGAACATAACTGGAGACGGTGTACAGTCGGCCAATCACAGCGACTCTTCTATTTCTCGCTGCCTGAAGCGACCTCTTGCGGTCGGCTCGACGAACTAACTGTTAATGGTTGCACAAACGATATTTGCAGGGTTGCTTTCGGCATTTACACTGAACCGCACTGACAGCTGTAATTTAAATTTGAGCGGGCGTTTTAAGCGGGAGACTATTCCCTCGCATTAACCGATTAAAAAACAGCCCAATTTAATTAATCAATTAAAATCATTCGCATTTTTGAACTTTCTTGGTTTAGGTTCACATATCATCAAAATATAATTTCCTTGACCTTTTTGTTTACGTAACATAGAACGAAGTAAAGAACTCTTTTCCTCTTTTTTATTTAAAAGTTTTATTCAGTTGTTGTTAGGAAAAGCAAGAAAATATGATAAAGGGAGTGCGGCAATACAACCTGTATGGTACTCCGTAGAGCTGTTTTGGGGAATTGCTTTTTTTGTAGCCCTGTACCCTTGTTATCTTATCACCAGCCAGCCGATTTTATGGCAGAAAACCGACTCTCAATTCGCCAGTATTTCTTTAATAATCAACCTCAGTGGTTGCATTCCCAGTAATCACCAGAAAACTTAAATTGTTCTGCATGTTCGTAGGCACTAATCTACATGAACATTCAATCTTAAAATTTCACCGGTCACCCATTGAAATCAGTAAGGATTTACCCAACTAAAAAATTTACCTGTTCCATTAGTGTGTGATAATTGAAATAAGAACGCGTTCGTTTTACAAATTCCATTTCAATGAGTGTTATTTTCGAAGTATTGAACATTTCTAAGGAATGTGCTACCAGCAAGCTTACATATCAATCTGACGTCATGTGTTTTATAATAAAGGCACATAATAGATAGGAATAACCACTCACTCTTTTAGTTTCTTACAGATAAGATAATGCATATTGTTTTAACGAACCTAGAAATGCTTTTGTTTACATGGTTGTTGTGACCACAGATTTGCATGGTGTTCCCTCGACATAAGGAGCAGCAACACAATATTTTCACTTTGCGACTTTTATCATTTCAGATTGGTTAAAGAATATAATCAACATGAATTTAGGTAATTTGAACATTATTCTAGCTTTAATCTGTTTAAGGGCATATTCCAAAACTTCGGCACAGACAGCCGCCGCACCCGGACTAAATAACTTTAAGGAATCAAACAACTCAAGGTAAGAAATCTGATAATTGATTATAAAAATAACTAAAATGTTTTTTATGTACCTATGTATTTGGATTAATACTAGCAGCAAGGACACATTAAATGAAACTTCTACTGGACTCTTGAATAAAACATTGTCCTCAACAACTGTTGTGAATGGAACCTATTCAACAGAGACTTCAAAAGCTACTACCGGTAGTAAGCCTGCTCAAAATCCTATAGATAAGCCATTAGAACCAGCGGACTGCTCCCAGCGTGAAAAATACAGAAAACAACCAATTGCAAAAAAATCTTCCCGCTTGCGAAAATGCTGTCCACATGGAGAAAACCTAGATATTTATCGCGAAAATCAAAGTGATTCTATGTGCGACAGCGGTGTTTTAACGTTTCAACCGACTATAATAAGTGCGGTTCTGTTTGATAACTGCATTGAAGACTTAGAGATTGAGACTACTCTAGACTACGGTATTGGAAATCCGTGTAACAGGTATGTTGTACATGTGTAAAAAAAACAGACTATTTTGACAGCACTATACTAAAAATTTTACTTTAAGTTTAGCTCCCTTATATATGACGATGAAGAGGATGTTTTTTTCGTTTTACAAGACGGAAGCTTGTTAATTATTGACAAGTTTGGAAATGAATCGTATACAGTCGAAGAAAATTACTGCTTAGATATTGATAAATCTGGACACTTTTTTGCCTTTACATGTGTTACACAGGTTGAAGAACAAATTGCATTCGCAAAAGTAATAACCTTTAAGACTTCAGTTTCTACCAAAAACGAATTAATTGTGTTAATTTCAGGTAATTTTTGTTGCTGTTTTAATGCTTATATCGATGCCCTGTCTGTTATTAGTTAGTTATTTGCACATGACACTTCGATTATTGCGCAACTTACATGGACTCTGCTTAAGTTTGATGTCTTTGTGTTTGGCTTCAGGATACTTTGTGCACTCTGTGGTGCACATATATGGCATCCCAAACCAAGGATTTATCGGCTACGTTATACAGTTTTGTATTTTGAGTTACTTTTTCTGGTACTTTTGTATATGCTTTAATGTTCTCCTAAATGTGTGGTACAAGTTGCCCTGCTGCATTCAGCTTTCTAAGTCCTGGGCCACGGTAAATTTTTCGTGCTATGCTGTTTTGGCTTTTTCTGTACCGGCTACAATAGTTGCCCTTACAGTTCAAAAGGGTTTGCCAGGAATGCCGTCATACTTTCTGCAAGGCAAGTCAATGACAATAATAAGAAAATTAAAATAATGGAATATATAATTTTTTTTAAGGCCTCACGGAATCTATACGAGACTCACAACGTTACTTTATACCTCCAGTTTCCACAATACTTTTTCTTAGTTTCTTAGTAAGTTAATTCAGGCTACAAAGTATTACATATTTTACCAGCCGTAAATCCTCAGATTAACATCATATCATTCTTCGGATTTCAACGTATAAATAACTATGCAAAAGGTGAAAAAGGGGATCAAGTACAGCGAAATTTATTGTTTGATCAACAAAAATACGAAGAAGTAAAAAAGGAGTGAGTGTAAATGTTATTTTTAGACCCTTGAAAAATTATTAATATTGTGATTACTTACTTATTTTACCAGCGCCAAATGCGTCAGCTTTCTTGGAATAATTATGGTCATAAGCTGGCTACTTGAAATAGTAACATTTTACTCGGCATCGAACTCGAATTACCTGCTTCTTTGCGATATGGTAAATGGTCTTCAAGGAGTTTGGGTATTGCTTATTTTTCTAGTTGTACGAAGGCGACGTACAATAATTTTAAGGTGGTGGTATGATCGTGGATCCCACGCAATTGAAGGAACAGAATTGCAGGCTCTGAGTAATATTAACAATCCCACTTAGACATAAATTATATTATAAAATTATAAGGGATTTGCTTGTTATATCACATCTTTAATTCTGAAGTATTTGAGCCGAAAGGATGATATATGTATAGGAAATAACTAAGAAAAGGTCCTGAAAGTGGATAAAAAGCACAGCATCATCTTTAAGAATTCCTTAGTGTTCCCAATATCGTACAGGGGTATCTTATCTTAGTACAAGATAATATTTATAACACGCCTCCTAGGCCGGAAAAGACATATCTTTTTTATAACTAAAAGAAAATTAATTGTTCTATTTATCGCCCAAAATATTTCTTAAAAAATTAAGGCTACACTAGACCTTTAAAAACTTTAAAACTTCAGAATAATATTTAAAAATTATGTAAATTGTTGTTTATTTAGACTTATGTATAAATATTAAATGTTTTTGTTGTCACTAATATGGTCATATAAAGTTAAATAGTCCAATTATTGTAAGAATGTTTTACCATCTATGCTAGTATTCTAAAAGGAAATGTGTAATTATGTGGCGGTCCAAACCAAAATGAGCCATTTCATATTTTTTAGTGGATTGCGTTTTTAAATAAGAAGAAAACGTTTGCTTACGTTTCCTCACTACGTAGTGGCGATTTCATCATAAGAATAAATGTGTATTTACATGTTATAGGCTACGTATATGGGATCCAATTGGTCGGCCAGAAAGCCATCCCGTAAATGCATCCGTTGCTTTTCGCCCCGACTATTAATAGGCACCACACCTGAAAACAGAATTTTTCTTAAAGTTAATACTCTAGTTCAAGTCAATTGATACATTTCAATAACAAACCTGGATCGACGACCACAACAACGCCAACTATAAGCTGATGATCTTCTAATACTGTGTTTGTGACCAAGGGAACCAAGTCCAAAGCTTCTGATTCATTGCCGTCTAGTTCGACAACTACGACTAATAAATTAGTCCAAGTAAAAACGGCACTAAGTAAAAAAAAATAAATTAAAATAATTTCTGAAGTACGTTTTACAAGTCTTACCACTCAGCTATTTTTTTGTGACAGCGCATTACAGAATTTTCGATATCAATAGGATGATAGTTCATGCCACGCAAGGAGATAACTTCATCAACAGCTCCAACTACATACACAGCGTCGTGAAGTTCTTGGTCATTCGAATTGCCTGCGCCGCCTATTAGGCTATGCTCAGAATTTGCACCCAAGGAAACATTTGAAAAATTTAATTGCAATTGACTCATGGAATTCAACGATTCCGTATCACTGTCGCGACTAGCCACACTTGGTGTGGTCTCGTCTAGTAATGAGGCTGCCTGGGAACACTCGGTGCGTCGTAAGAATCCTAAATATCCAGTACGTGCATATAATTCCGAGGTGGCCCCAGTTACTAATTTCGCGTTGAAGTGATCATTGTAGTCAGTTTCATCGCCATAAATTGTAAAGTATCCATTTGCATTGTGAGGAGCTTGAACCTAACGAAAATAATATATATTAGTTATTGTTAATATTCAAATATCAAATGCTTGCCCAAATTTCTCCCAAATGCGAGTCGCCACAGTGACCCTTGGTTTCCGGATTTGCTATGATCACTTTTACTCCTGGTAAAAGCTTTCCTGATTCAATTACACATAGCGAATTTGGCGCCCCACGCTCCACCAAAGCCACTCGGTTATTTCGCAAGGCTCTCATATCTACGTAAACCTGAGCACTCTCTGCAGAACTAGCTCCTTGCACACAAATGGCCGGATTCACACGACATCCAAATGAAGTGGAGACACAGCGAGTATTTAGGCCAAGGGCTTGGAACAGCTTACAAAACTGCTGGGTCAGCTGCACTCTTGGACGCTCTTCAGCAACTACAACACACGTCCGAACGCAACGCAAGTCAATGTTTCGTTGCTTTAAGGAGGGTATAGAATTGCTGAGAGCTTTCGTACATAATTCTATAACGCCATATGAGCAGAAGGTGTCGCGAACACGATGTTGCGAGAGAGTTGACAGCCACAAACTGGGATTCGTTTCAACTTCGTAGGGTGCGATAAGTATTGAATGGTGGCCACTATATACTCCGATAAGAGTCCACATTACAAAGCCAAGGCCGCAATAGGGATCCAAACATAACGCAACATGACGAGAAGGATACAGCTCACAGGCCAATTTTAAACTGGCGCACAGACTAGAGAGAGATCTATTGGATAAACAAAAATTAAAAATACACATTATATTAACACCATTTAAATCTAGTTACCGATGCGTTATGTTAACACCGCTAAGACGGCCACAAGTTGACACGCTGAAATCCAAATAGGCGCTAGAGTCGAAGGAGACCGTAGCTATGCCGGCATATTTGCGTTTTGGGTTGTCGTCAATATCTAATATAGGTGGCCATGTCTTTGGGTCAATAGAGGTAGCCGCCTCTCGTGATTTTAGTAACTTAATAATCGGTTGAATAGAGAGCACAATGCCACTTTTTGAAACATCAACAATCATGCGGACAGTGGGTAATGTGGTATTTAAATTTTGTGGATGTGGAGGCCGTATGGTAATTGGTATTGCACCCAAATATAGACACCCGTAAAATGCGCACAGCAAATCAAGACCTGGAGGAAATATAAGCGCTGAAAAAAAAGTGGTTATTATAATTTCACTAAAGCGGCCACCCCTGAATTCTTACCAACATGATCGCCTGGCTCTATTCTTCCTCGTTCTTGTAACAGTGCCGCTATTTTCTCTGCCCGCTTATGTAACTCGGAGCATGTCAGAGTTTTTGCAATGGCACCTACAAAAATAATTTGAGTCTATTTTTTTTTACAAAAGTGGTGGAACTTACCTTTAGAATTCAACAATGTGAATATTATGTGATCTGGGGAGGTTCCTGCTCGCCAACGCAACACTCCAGTTATAAGTTGTGGCTGTTGAAGTTTCGACAATTTTAAAATTCACATTTCGATTTAAAGCAGGCATATTGACCTACCTTACGCTCACAATCTTCGGCTAATCCAACATCCCGTCCATGGGCTTCAGCGAGGCGATTACCCTGCACTAAATTTCCAACCATCACAGAGGCTGGTCCTACACCCGTGTCTGTAATACCACATCCAGATGATGAGCTTAATTTTGCGGCAGTTTGCACACCTTATTTTGTTTGGGGAATGGTTAGTAGTAGAATGATTTGTCGTTTTTGTACAAGGATTCATTACAAAAATTATTAATTAAAGCGATTTCATTAGATATGTTGGCATTTGTGATTGTTGTCGATATTATACAGTGTTGTTATTTTTTAATTTGGCAGTGAGTGTTGTAGTGGTCATAGAAGTAATCGCAGCGTTGTTGAAGTGTTGGTGGTTAAAAATAGAGGAAAGCAATGTTTGTATTTTAATAAGGTAAAAAAAGCACAGAAAGTTCAACAAAGCCAATTATTTAAACATATTAAATTAAATTACGGGGAAAACTTACCTTGATGCAATTCCCGCGGCTTTGGTAGATTGGTAACACATGTGTGTGGGCACATCAAAACATTTGCTGGGTGAAGGGATCCTTCCAAAAATCGTCGTCTTGCCTCACATAAATGTATGCCCCCAAGAGGAGTCTTGGGCAAATGATTTGGTGGAACCAATGCCAGACAATAAATGCCAACCTGATGAATGGAGTCTACTGCCTGCAGAACACGCGACATCCATTGGAAACTTTCTTCCTCAGAGCAGTCCGGGCGCTGTTCAGCAATAACACACACGCGTTCGTCACGCAATACTTTAATGCTAAATACAGCTATGCGTCCGCGGTAAATGAACCGCATTGGTTCCACTGCTAATACTGTGGCAATTATGTCATCCGCATTGTGCTTTCGACCGGTAACCGTCATTAGACCGTCGCGGGACCCGCAGACAAAGACTAAGCCTCCGGGACCCAGAAAGCCCAAAAGCCCTGATCTCACGTAAAAGTCTTCGCCAATAGGTTTGGAAATAATGTTTACCGTGCCATTTCCATCTTTTGGCTGGTCGAATTCTTCCAATAGGGGTTGAACTTTAAAAGTAGAATTCGTCATTCCATCGAGACCAAAGTAGCTGGCGCTTGTGGAACCACTTGTGACACATATTTCGCCGACTTGATCGGTTTTGCATAGCACTGGAGATCCTTCCGACCGCACGACTACCATTTGTGCTGCTGGCATAACTTGACCACAGTCCTGTAAAGTTAGTGACGTTAATGAGTCCTCGCTGTCTACTCTCACTACTCCGTGTGAAAGTGCTGCCATGGAAAGCACACCACGTCCTGTAGCCGATGGACTAAATCCACAGGATCCTCGTCCAGGTCGACGAAGTGAGACGGTAAATACTTCAGAGCTACTAGCACATGGACAAATTGCATCCGACCGTAATCCTTTTGCTTGAAAAACGCTCAAGAACTGGTCACAAGATGAAAGTGACCAGGGATTGGCTCCATCGGCTACTAGCAACATACGCAGAGAAGACAGCGATATATCCTTGTGATCTTTAGTAGCTAGTAAGCCCCAATGTAAATCACGACTCTTAACCAAGCAGCAAGAGGCCCGGTGTTTTGTTATTAATTGCATCCAGCTGGATGGTCGCAGCTTCATCAAGGCATAGGGTATGAAAATAACATGCATACCATTCAAAATGGAAGTCAAAACTGAATGCCATAATCCCACTTCACGCTTGAAATCCAAGACACACACAATTGTTTCGCCCTCGGTGTAGTGGCAGGCCATAGTCAAAGCACGGCAATGATTGATCATCGCTGCGCGGGTAACAGTGACACCTATCCAAAATTTATAATTGTTACAAGGGTCTGCTAACTGATGTAGGAAACACTTACCCATAACACTGCCTTCCTTATCAGTCGTGTATTCTATATAAGCTGCAGCCGAATCGTCGACCCGTAAATTGCCAACATTGAATTCCTTAGGCGGCTTAGGTAAATGCTCAGTTACAAACCACTGCAATCGTGGCCAACCCTTTAATTTAGCTATTTCCCCCGTAGTGGATGATTTGGGGAGACCTTTTAAGCAAGCCTCTGAGGTTAATGCTACAGTTATGCCACAAGAACTCAATAAAAATCCAACTTGCTGCGGAGGTGTATCCGAGCTAGAAAGCGGTAACTCTATTGGAAGAGGTACCAAGCCCCGAAACATACAACCATACCAGGCTGTAATAAAACTGTAAAAGGTTTGATTAAATTGTGTTACAAATAAAGTATATGTGTTATACCAACCTCAAGGGATCATTATTAGGATAAACCAAGGCAACTCGATCGCCTGGCTTAAGAGTTACTTGTTCAGGTCCTTTGCTGAATATTTTCGTGGACAAAGCATACGCAATTTTTTGTGCGCGCGAAAGCAGTTTGCCATATGTCAAGGTAGTTGTTATTTTCCCATTAGGATCAAGAACCGTAGCCATGGGACTTTTAAAAGAATTAGTGCCATATC